TACATACATACATACATACATACATACATACATACATACATACATACATACATACATACATACATACATACATACATACATACATACATACATACATACATACATACACACACACACACACACACACACACACACACACACACACACACACACACACACACACACACACACACACACACATACCACACACACACACACACACACACATACATACATACACACCCTCACACTTTAACAGGAGCAGCCACACAGCTCGGACCGATGTACATGCTAGAAGTGGTACCCTTCAATTTGAAAGGTGCCATGGGTACCATCCATCAACTCTTCATCACCATTGGCATAGCTATGGGAAGTCTCTTCGGTTTGAATAATTTATTAGGTTGGTTTTCTGAAATAATAAATCATTTTATAGCGACAATAACTCATTGAAAAAATAACAAATAATTTTTATTTATTGAAAACGGCAAAAAAATTTCATGATGGAAAAAAAAATCTATAAAAATGGGTGATGCGATGGTGTAATGGTTAAGGCGCTTGGTTCTTCTGTTGCACTGACTGGATTTGAATGCAGTGAGATTTCCGTGTGTGATGCGTTGATTCAAGTGTGTTTTTTTCATACACTCTGTGTGTTTGTTGCCGATGCAAAGAAATTAAATAAGAAAAAATTTGAATTGATGCAAACCAGGGGTGGAAGGAAAGTGGCCGATACTCCTGCTCTTGAATGCGGTTCCGGGTGTGGCCAGCCTCGTCATATTCCCATTCCTGCCCGACAGTCCCAGGTTCCTCATGCTTGTCAGAAAAAATAAGGAGGGTGCCAGAAAAGGTGCTGCTACATTCTCTTCCAGTGTCAAACTTTGTTTTGTTCGTTATTTTTTCCTGCTGGTTTGTGATTATAAATATTCGTAATAATTGTAATTGTGATGATGAATTTCAGGCCTTGTTTCTTTCATTTTTATAATACAGGTTGCAGAGAAATTTTTTATTTTGCGTTTCTCTTTCTTTCGCTTCCTTTTTTCTCTTTCATTACTTTCACAGACCAATCAACGTTTGAATTCATTTCACACCACCATCCAGCCCTCCAATGGCTACGAAGACGCACGGACGTGACGGACGAGATAACGGAGATGGAGGAGGAGTCAAAAAGTCAGCAGGGTCAGGGTGAAACGTACACCATCATGAAACTCTTGAGGACTCGAGAACTCATCCCACCGCTGATCGTGTCCATCGTCCTGCAGCTGATGCAGCAACTCTCGGGCATCAACGCCATCTTTTTCTACTCAACCAGCATCTACTTGAACGCAGGGGTGCCCGTCGAAACCGTCCAGTACGCCAACCTGGGGACGTGTGTCATCAACGTCGCCATGACCTTTGTCGTGGTCAGTTCGACGTTTGTCAGCTGTTTCCGTTTTTGTGTTTCATACTCGGGATTCGGTTTTTGTATTTAAAAAGTACACTCCTGGAGTTTTGATGCGTGTATGCCCTGTTTAATTATTCATAATATGGTAATTATCATATTCTCGTTATGTTTGAAGTCGTTGTATTTTTTTTCAGTTTTCACTTTATTTGCAATTTATTTGGTTTCGCGATTTCATAGATGGTCCTTACAATAAGTAAAGTGACGTGTAAATAAATTATATTAATTAGATACCTTTGATGGACAGGCTTGGTAGGAGGAGCCTCTTACTTGGACCAATCGCTGGCATGATTGTAACGCTGGCTGTTATAACTGTTGCTTTAAACCTGCAGGTAGCTATCATAATTCCACTTGTAGTTTAAATGTAAAGATTGGTTTATATTTTATACATTTTTGAAATTATTTGATAAACTTTCATTTTTCAGCCATTCCATGTAGTTTCTTGTGATCAATCACTCAAATTTTTAATTCAATTTTAAATAAAGCGAATAAATTATGTTAATTACTCAGTCTAGCTACCCGTCAATGAGTTACGTCAGCATAATATGCGTCCTATTCTACGTGGTCTTCTTCGCTTGCGGCCTGGGACCCATTCCGAACATGATCACAGCTGAGGTCTTCAGGCAGGGACCGAGGGCCAGGGCCATGAGTTTGGCCGGGCTGGCTAACTGGCTGTCCAATGCCGTCGTAGCTATGGGCTTCGAGATTGTTCAGGTGGGTTGGTAAGATGAAAGGTGAATTCGATGTTTGTGATGGTAATAATCGTGAATTCATTAAATTCTTCGCTTAAAAATTGATTTGTTCATTCATTTATTCATTCAATGAATCAATCGTTTATTCCTTCCTTGACTCAGTCAATCAACCAAACAATCAATCAATCAGTCAATCAATCATTCCTCCACTTCTCTCCCGACAAACACAGGCGGCGACAAAAGAGTTCGTCTTCCTCATCTTCCTGGTCATCATGGTGGCCTCGCTCATCTTCACATACTTCAAGGTTCCCGAGACGAAGAACAAATCATTCGACGAGATCGCCAACCAGTTCAAGAGTGCCGGCGGCAGGAAAAGATGAAGGAGGGGAGGCTGAGTTGAGGACTGTCAACGTTTAGGGATGATATGATGATGATGATGATGATGATGATGACAATAATGATGATGTTAACATGATGATAATAAAGATGATGTTAACATGATGGGTTGTTCTCTCTATACTGCCGGTGATGATGTGATGCAATTTTGGTTGGTGGCGATAGTGGTCAATAGTAGTGGCGTTGTCGTTTGTGATGACGATGATGATGTTGTATGATTGTGATGATGGTATGATGATGAATGATGGTATGATAATGATGATGGTATGATGATGATGATGGTATGATGATGATGATGGTATGATGATGATGATGGTATGATGATGATGGTTATGTTATTGATGATGGCGATGATGATACATGTCGATGATAACGGTATTGATAATGATATTGCTTGATAACACTGACTTATCGAAAAGGTGACGATGATTTTAGGACTTTAAATAGTTCAACTCTAACACATTGCTACCAGACAATGATACTGATATACCAGATAAATGATACCAAAGATATCACCACAGTGATGATGGTGATAATGAAGACTTATGATACCAATTAATCCATCCATTATCTATTTAACGTCGTTGTATTAATTAACTAATTAATTAATTAATCAATTAATTAAATAATTAATTAATTGAGTGATCTATTTTTGTAAAGTAAACACAGAAATAAGAGTCTATATATTTTTGTTGTATGTACTGTATTAAGATATGAATTATTTTGCGTTGAGAAAAAAATCTTATTAATTATATTTATTAATTATAATGAATAATAATATTAATTATTATATTATAGTTAATAATTATGACGTTAGTTATTTTCTATAACCAATGTATGCAATATTAGAAAATGATCAATATATTTTTCTATATTTTTCCTTATAATGTTGTTCTAATACACTAATATATATCACATCTACTCCTCTCCCCCCCCCCCTCTCTGTGTGTGTATATATATATAATATATATATATATATATATATGATATATATGTATAAATCACTTTCCATATCCAAAGCCTTCAATGTCATAGATCACAAAATACTCCTTCCCAAACTACATCATTAGAGAGTAAGAGGCACAGCTCACAAATGGATGGGGATGAGCGTCTATCTTTCGTCACCGACACAATGTTCCCACACCCCTCTCTTTTATATTTACAAAACTCGCCTCAAATCAATCCAGACAAGCATAAAATGGATGAACTTTTTTTACTAATGATTAAACATTTATATGTTTATATACGTACTAAACGAACATTTATATGTTTATGTGTTTATATATGTATAACACGAACATTTATTTATTCATCTTCAATTATCTTTCTGCTTCAGTTATTTTCCTTATTTTATTTCATTAACTATTCATGTATCTACCTGCGGTGGTCACCACAAGACAAACAGTCTTATTCGGTCTCCGCATATTCAACTTCATAACTTTTATTCACTTATTTCATATGTTGTTGATTATGAATAAACTTTGAAAATGAAAAATGCAATGATTTATGTATATATAAAACGTTATATATATGGTTGAATAATGCAAGATTAAACAGCAATTAGATTATATTTCATATAAGTACTCTCTCTCTCTCTCCTTCCTCCCTCTCTCTCTCTCTATATATATATATATATATATATATATATATATATATAGTTTATATATTTTTTGCTAAACTTTTGTTATTTTATCTCGTGTCGTATCGCGTTATCATTGTGTTATAATTTTTATTTTTGTGGTTATTATTATTTTTGTTGTTCTACTTACAGTTTAGACCTTTTTATGTAATATATACAGTATGCATTTTATTATCTTTCATATATACATGTCCTCTCTTCCTCCTCTCTCTCTCTCTCTCTTTCTCTCTCTTTCTCCCTCTCTCTTTTCCTATCTATCTTCTAGTATTAATGTTCATTCATTTTTCTTTTTTTTTTATTTTTCATGATCATTTAATTTTATCTAATAATTTTTATGTAATTTTGGTTTTGTAAACTGTAAAACTCATCACTTCATAATAGATACAACGTGTTTTTTGCGTGTGTGTGTGTTTATTTAAAAATATATCACTTAATGGCAAGCAAGTGTTAAAATCAGTATGTTAGATTATTGTGTTATTTGTGTGTTTTCTTTTTGTTAGGCTTCGTTAGGTTCTGTTATGATACACATAAGTAGATCGTTACAGTACATGTGTGCGCCATAAAGCCTCCCATTATATACATAATAATTAATTGAGATCTCTTTTTTTTAATTGGTTCACTTGCCCGACAGAAAGTTTGTCCCTCTATCAATCATTCATTCATTCATTTATTCCGTCATTCTGTCGATCAAATCAGTTGTATCAATCAGTCAATCAAATCATTCATTTATCTATTCATTAATTGTATCCACTATCGGTCATTAAATAAAACTGTTGTAATATTAATTCATTCATTCACCTATCTATTCATTTACTTAATTAATTAATCAATTAAGGAAAGGATATGTATCAATCAATTGATTGATTGAATCTTTACACTAATTTTTATTTAAGATATCGTCATTTTCATGTTAGTATTCATAGATATTAACATTTTATATATACAATTATATGTGTATATATATATATATATATATATATATATATATATATATATATATATATAAATATATTATATATTATTATTCTCTAAAAAATCGGAATCTGCAGACACAGAAACTGTTACAGCATGCAAGGCAGGCAACAGTATAAAATGATAACGAAATAAATAAGTAACCGAGAAAAAAAATGTTTAAACATAAAAAGTATTGAAAATAAATTAAAGTAATGCCTCAAAAAGGCAAATAAGTTAAGTAATTTATTAATGACCTAATGAGGTGATCGATAAGAAGAAAACTAGAATGAGTTAATGGTAAAGTTTTGAGTGCTAATATATTTAAGGTGTCTCGTGATGAAGGTCTTATCCTGATATGTTGATTGAGTGGCGACTTGATAGTCATGCTTGCGCTGACGAAGGTTGTGTGTTGTAGTTTTGATTGGTGGTAGTAGAGGATGGATGACGATGTTGCTGTTATTTTCTACTTTCTTGAACAGTCTTGAATCGAGTATGTTGGATATCTGAGTGACGGTAGGATATGATGCAGGTAGATAGTTGAGGCGATTTAGTTTTTTTGATGAGAGGTTGTAGTTGCTGAAGTTTTTGTTGTGCAGCAAAACCGGACCAGGAGGGAGCTGCTTATTTGATGCGTGAGATGATGAGTGATTCGGTGATGTCGAATAGTTTGATGCCTCTGAGACCATGTGGAGTGCAGTGTTTTAAGTGCGTGAAATGTTTGAAAGCCTGTTTATATTGTATTTACACACACATATATATAAATTAATTAATTAATTAATGCAATTAACTGATTAATAAATGTATAGATATTGGGTTGAGACTATCTGATAATCACCCAATATTATTATTAAATAGCATTAAAGCAAGACCAGTTTAACGTGTTATATCTGTCCAAATAAGTGTACTTAACATTGCTTGTCTGCGTGTGTTTTTATACGTGTGTAAGTGTAGAAATTATGAATTTATTTGTTTATTTCTATTCAATCGCCCAAGCTAAGTGTATTTCTGTTTGACATGTTTTCTTGGTTCGGACTTTCTCTCTTTCTCTCTCTGTCTCTCTTTCTCTATCTATCTATTTTCTATCCATCTTCTATCTATCTTCTATCCATCTTCTATCTATCTTCTATCCATCTTCTATCTATCTCCTTTCTATCTTCTATCTCTCTCTCTTCTCTCTCTCTCTCTCTCTCTCTCTCTCTCTCTCTCTCTCTCTCTATCCATCTTTCTCTTTTTCAACAGAACTTTATTTTTGTGAACCAACTGTCGTTTGTTGGTCGTATGCTTCTGTTTCAGATGAAATCTTCCCGACACTTTTGTTCTTGAAAAGCTTATTTTGTGTGTGTGCGTTCGTAAAATCAATATTCTATTTATTATTATTATTATCATTATTGTTGTCATTATTATTATTGTCATTATTATTGTTGTTTATGCTATTTGCTGAAAAAATTTTTTTTTCTTCGATTATCAAACTTTCGTTAATATTATTAATCATCTTCTTGTAAAAGTTATGCGAACTATCACTGCTATTAATTTTCTGTAATGATATTTTCATTATTTATTATCATAATAATTAATCATTTTATTATTGCTTTTTTATTATTATGGTTTTTATTCTTATTTTTTACTGGAAATCATTTGTTTGTTGGAACGTTGCTGGCTTTGCTATCGGAAAATAAAATGGAAAAAAATGTTGATGCGTGATCGTTCTGTGGGGTTTCAGATTCCCTTGGTGAAACAGAATGTTGGTGGTCTTCTTATCTCTATATTATTCGAAGATTTTTGAAATTTGGCAATGAATTAAGTGTGCTTTTGAGAAATTTTAAAAAGCTCTTAATAATAATAATAAGAAGAATCATTAATTTTATAATTGTGTTTTAACTCTATACGTTCATCGATGTGAGTTCTAGCAACACTTCTTTGTACATCTCTAGATACGCGCGATCATTCTAAAGTTAATCATTCACACTCACTAGTAACAATCAGCCTCCTAAATGTTACTCATCTATCGACTTATTATGTCTGACTTATGGGATTTCAACATCCGTCCTGGAATGTTTATCGGAAGGTTAATGGCGTCACACTTCTATGACAGAATCTCCATATACGTCATATCAATATTTATTGGGGTCTTACAATCACGCAAGCGTTTGGGGTCAAAGTTTGAGCTCTATAGTTCAGTTCCTATACTAAAATCTCACGATTTCAATCCGTAATGTTTTCTAATTAAACATAAGTCATCATGTTGGGTTGTGGGAAAGTTTCATTTATAGCATTTGTGTTATTTAAAATACAAGTTGTTACTATCATTAACAATGGATTTGAAAATAAACCAGCAATGTGCATTTGAAAGTGCGTGTGTGTGTTGTGTGTGTGTGTGAGTGTGTGTGAGTGTATGTGGTGTTTAT